GATGCCCTGCTGGAGCCAGCATGCCACTCACTCTGGGTTGGGGAGGCGGACGGCCTGTCTGTTCCTTGGTGGGGGGGGGGGGGGGGGGCGGACCGATGCCCCCCCAGGCCCCCGTGGTGCGCCATGGGGTGGTTCCCCAAACGAATCGGTATTAGCTGGGCGGTCGGAGGTCGGTGGAAGGCACGGTGTCGGTGGGAATGGAGAAGTCGAAAACATCGTCACGGAAGGGAAAGTCGACCGGTACGTGATCCCGGTCCTCGGGGAAGGTCCAGCCTGGTAGTTGTGCACGGCTGCCGTCGTTGACTGGGCCGGGAAGCTCCCAGCCTGGCCATGCTGATCTCTCAATCTTGAGACCTGTGACGCTGTCTGTAGTCGATCCCTGCGTCCTGGACCAGAGGTTGCCTTGCTGGGTGTAGGTCCTGGGATCCGGCCACCCGCGCCCCTTCTGTTTCGCAGCCTCTCCGTAATGGTCCGCCCCCAGGAGGTGCTCCTTGCCGTCGCAGTACCTCTGGCAGACCTCGCGCCACCAGCACCGCTCCCGGTTGAAATGCGCCCATCTCAGCCATGGGCATTCACGAGCATGGAAGGGCTTGAGCGAGCCTTCTGCGACGGGACCCCGTGCGCAGTGCTGTATGGGGGCGGCCGTCTGGCCAGTGGCCCGCCGTTACTCTTCCTCTTTCTTGGCATCCACCTGGAGCGCGGGGGGGAGGCGCAGCCGATAGCTGCGGAAATGGAAAATGTGAATGCGGGGGGAACCTTGAGCCGCAGCGACGGAGGCTCAGATGCTGCGGCGATCAGGCAAGCGTCGATCAGATCGAGGCGGGCCGGGGGGGGGGGGGGAGTGGGGGGAGGGTGCATGAGCAGGTGGGCAGCTTCTGCTGCCGCGATAGGGTCGCATAGGTTGGTCCCCCTGGGATCGATGCCAGGAAAGTGTGCAGGCTGGGGGGTGGGGGGGTGCTATCGCTCCACTGTATATGAGAGGTGACAGCAGTAACGCCTTCCCTGCGGAGGGAGTCCGCCCAGTATGCTCCAATGGTGGCAAGGTTGTCAGCGGCCTTGTTCAGTCTACGTCTGACGGCCTGCCACGTGAGTACCCACCCTGCGCCTTCGACTTGCCCCAATGCATCTTCCATCTGCTGAGCCAGGTGGAGCCTTCGGTACCTGGCAGTGCCGGCCCCGTACCTTACGGTCGCTAGGTTGTCACCCACAATCCGTGCCATGCGGGTTGGGCTATCTAAGTGGGGGAGCAGCGCGAGCCTGGCGCGGCAGCCTGCTACCTCAGCCATCTGAGCACTGTGCAATCCAGGAGCGCAACAATGGTTATGGCGAGTACCCAGGGTGCCCCAGTGCTGGGGTTGTGGTGCCAGAGTATGGCCCCGGCGCCCGATACTTTCTCACGGTTCGCAATGGTTCTTGCCCCTCCGTCGAATGTGACCTCGTACGGCCATTGAATTGAGTCAGAGTCGGGGAAGGGGGAGTCGCATGCAGTGATCTCGTCGCCGGGCTCGAGCCTGGTGTTGGCCGTTAGCGTGGTAGTGTGGAGCCCACATTCCTGGCAGAAGATGGACGACCACCAAGCAGTGGGGGAGTTGTCAGTCCTTGGGCAGGGGAGCCAGCTTCTGCCTGGAGGCATCCATGCAGCCCGTGGGTGGGAAGACTGCAGTACTACAATTCTGTCCTCAGGGTTGTGGTGTCTGGTGACAATCGGGAATCTGCGGATCTCGCCTCCTGCCCTGTCCGCATGCCGCACCGAGCGGGGCCTGGCCGCTCCACGGATAGATCCAGCGGGGGGGGGGCAGGGGCTGCACGTGCGGCAGGTGTCACGCAGAACGGTCCACACGGCCGTCTCACCAGGACTGTCAATCCTTGGGGGATCATCGCCCACGTGCTCCTCTTCATCGCTCTCCTCGTGGTGATCCGCGTCAGGGGTAGCCATCCCGCGCAAGATGAGGCTAGCGGCGTCACCTGCTTCAAGGGGGGAGGCAGTGAGGTTGACGCAGTATCTGAAGGAGATCTGATGCAGCATCTTGGCGAGTACTGGCTGGTGCTCGCCCTCGCTGGTGATAGCTTGGGCGAGGGTTGGTGGGTCGTCTGGCCCCCGTATAGTGCCCCAGACGAAGGCGGCGGCTGGGCACCAGTGCCAGACGTGCTCAGTGGTAGCCTCTCCCATCCCGCAGAGCGGGCAGCGGCCGTATGGTCCAACTCTGACAGGTGGCCTTATGCACCCACCCGCACTCACGTAGGCGTCAGCCTGGGCCCTAAGAGGGAGGGGGTGTGTGTCAGGGGGAAGGGTTTGCCAGAGGGCGAAGGAGTGTGGGCCTGTGCCAACGCATCTAGCACACCAAGCAGCCCCTTCGTCGTTCGGGCCGGCGGTGATCCACACTTTGTTGGCTGGTGCCCCACAAGGACACCTGTGGGGAATTCGTTCGTCGTCTCCTCTGCGCCTCGCCGGGCCAGGAAGGCCGTTGCTGAGGATTCTCAGCACGTGGTGTGCTGCGGTGAAGGTGGAGCAGTGCCGTAGCAATTGCCACTCCTCTCCTCTGGAGGGTAGCCATCTTCTCCCTTGGCTGGTGTTCAGGAGCCAATCTGTGAAGTGCTGGCTGTCCATTTGGGCCCAGGCCGCCGCGTAAATGATCCTGCCATATTGCCTGCCTTCCAGAAGCTGGGGTCGCTGCCTCGCAAGGCAGCTGGCAAGGATACGCGAAGCGTTAAGAATTTGTGCATCTAGCCCTGCACAGCGGATCTACTAATGTGGACCTATCCTTGCACCCAGCTGCGCGTGTGAGCGGATCCTCCTCCTTCCCACACGTCCCTCCCCCACCCCCAGCGCAAACTCCTCCCTCATTTCCCATTCTGGGGGTGCGGCACACGGTCGGCATCTGCTACTGGAGCTGGGCAGCTCACTGGCCACTGCTTGCAAACCGTCCGGGATATTTTGAGAGGCGAGAAAGTCTTGATATGATCGGCGGGACCCTGGCGACTCCGAGGATCGGGCAGGGGTGCCGGGATCAGAGGGCCCACCCGGGGACGCGGGCGCCTAGACCAGAACAACCCAAATGGCATTTCGAGTGATACGCGAGCGAGCCAGGCCCCCGGGTCCTCCACAAACCTCCAACGCATCGAACAACAACTCTCACACACGTATATATATATATATATGTGTGTGTGCATATGTATGCATGTATGTATGTATACATGCATGCATGTATGTATGCATGCATGCATGTATGTGTGTATGCATATATGTGTGCATGCATGCATGTATGCATGCACGCATGCATGAACGTATGTATGCCTGAATGTATGCATGTATATGCATGTATGTGTATGTATGTACGTATGGACCTTCAGTAACCACTCAAGCAGAACAGCCGTCCATGGGAAGAGTGTCGGGACTTCAAGACATCGGATCTCCAGGTCCAGCGCCAGACCTCTACAGTAGAGGCTCGAATACAAGAAATCTTCCACAATAAACCCAACCCTGAGACCTCAGGACGTACATAGATTCTTGGTGTGGGAACGTCACGCTTTCCATAGCAAGACCATCGAAACCCGAGAAACACAGCCCATCGAAGCCTGAGAACCCGACGGCAAGCAGGGCGTTTCCTGGCATGGGTTCCCACTGTAGAGATTCGACCAACATCATGCCGGTTTTGTTTCGTCATAACGCCGCCTTGAAGCCGCTCCCGGGCCTTGGGGACGGCAACAAACGAGGAGGATGAGGAGGAGGAAGGAGGAGGGAGGGAGGAGGGGATCGAGGAGGAGGAGAGAGGAGGACGAGGAGGAGGGAGGAGGAGCAGGAGGAGGAGGAGCACCTGGTCCTGGGGAGAGGCCGAGCGGTCGAGACGTCCAATGTCTGGAGACTCGACAGAATCGATCTGTCTGACTCTGAGACCTGGGGTCGCCAACAAAAGCTGCGTACAGTAGGGGCTCGACCACAATCGATGATCCTCAGGACGTGTGTTAGCGCCAACGTGTGTTCGCCCACTGATGCCCTTCACTACGACGAAGGCGATGTGACGATCGACTGGTTGGGTTGAACGGGGTAAACACACAATGGGCCAAGACACGTCCTGAGGATCATCGACACAAGAAGCCTTCCACAAAAGACCCATCCCTGGGGCTCCAGGACGCACATTGATTCTTGGTGTGGGAACGTCACGCTTTCCATCGCAAGACTGTCGAAGCCCGAGAAACCCAGCGCACCCTGGAAGCAAACAAGGCGTTTCTTGGCACGGGATCCCACCGTAACCAAAGCAGCGCACTGAGAAATCACACCCTGCGGCGTTTGGATCGAAGATGACGGCACACAGGGATGGTGGTGAGGAAGACGAGGGTGAGGAGGGAGTAGATGAAGGACAGGAAAATGCGGACGCGGAGGCCAGAGAAGTGTGTATGGCCCAAGGAGCTGCGGTCTGCCAAGAATGCCGCTGCTTCTTCTGAGTCGTGAATGTATTTACCAAGGGCTTCGGCATCTCCGTGTAGACATTGCGTTGCCATGCGCAATCCATTGGCGTGGCCGCGGGACGACGAATGGCCGTTGTGCCTGGGATATCCTCACCGTTCTGATAGTCGGACGCGCTCCTCAGCCGCGACGTCACGCGTCAACACCCACATCGGCTTTCAACAAGTGCGCTCGGTATGTCCAGAAGCGCACTCTTTGCCGATGTTGTTTCACATCTTCGTTCGAGCCTCATTTACCATGCTTCTAAATGTAGTGCTCAACATTCCGGTAAAGCACATACAGCAACGGTTATTAACGTGTTGTGTGTTTCTACGTATTCCAAAACATGCGATCTCCAATTGGTATGTCTGTCCCGCGCAGTTGCCAACCGTACTCGCGAACACATTTGCGCTTAGACATGCTTAGCCCAAGAAACATAATACGATTTGAAGAAATTGGCTACTAACACTTTCTGCACGACACATCCAGCTTATTCAATATTTCGCGTCTGCTCCAAATGTTCCTGCTTGTTTCACCCTGCCCTGCTTGCATGGGCCTGGACACGCACGTGCAAATCGTATCAAGGAACTTGGAGATGTTTCTCTCGTCGCGGAAGGCAAGCCGCTAGTGCCGAAGCCGCGCCCCCGCGCTCTTGCGCGAGGCAGGTCGCAGAAGCTCCCCGCGCCCGAGAGACAAGGACAGCCTGAACGCTGTGAATGGTTTGCTTCTACTCTTCCTCCTTCGCGGCTACCCCCCCACTCCGCCTCCCCCTCTCCATCTTCCTCGTCTTCCTCTTCCTCCCGTTCCCCGTCCTGTCACTACCCCTCTTTCTCCCCCCCCCTGCGCCTCCTTCTCCTCCTCCTCCTCCTCCTCCTCCTCCTTGTCAATGGCACAGATATGTTCCAATGTAGTTTGCTAAGCATGATGTAATGGTTGCTAGAGTATGCATGTGTGTGTGCTGCTTGCTTGTTGCAGTATATGTGTGTGCGTAGGTGTGTGCGCGCCCGCTGCCTGTTTTGACTCAAACTGTTCGTAGGGGCCCCTGAGCTGATAAAAAAAAACTACGAGCGGATCTTGTCGATCACAATCAATTCTATGTCACATTCGGTTTGGAACTCTGTGTGTCCAAACATCGGTGGTTCAATGGTGTGCTACCGACATTGGTAGCGGAGCCAGCGGCTCCACGGCCTGACCGATAAAGTCCGCTCTTGATTTTCTCCCATCAGAGTCGAGAGATGCGGCCTGCTGGTCCACCAGGACCGGGACGCGGACGAGGTGAAGGTCGCGGCGGTCGCGGCGACGGAGGCGGCCGCGGCCAGGAGGAACGTCGCGGGGAGGACGGAGAGGAGCAGCGAGTGCCGGATGACGACGACAGCGAGCTGCTCGGAGGTGGTGGACGACGTGAGCGGCCACCACAGATGGACGCGGCTTTGGCGAAGTGCTGCCCGGACGCGACGGACCTTAGCCACGCAACCTGCAGGAATTTTCGACGGAGAACGAGAACGACGATGTTCCAGAGGTTGTGTGCGCGCCGAGGCGCGCCGGTGATAGGCGAGGGCGCCTACCTTCTCCTGCAGAGCCTGACGGCCGATGCGTGGGACGCCTGCGACGAGATCAGCTTCGAGAGGATGGACACCGCCGAGGCATTCGATGAGATATTCGAGAAGCTGGACGTGCTGTACAGGTACGGCCAGGAGGTCGAGCTGCCAGGCAGGTGCGACGGATTCTTCGGAGAGTTCTCGAGGCAGCCGAAGGAGACGCTCAACGCGTACGTGCTCAGGCACGGCAAGGAGTTATCGAAGTTACGCGAGGCTGGACTGGAGCTACAGGACCTACTGGCAGGATGGCATTTGATGATTCGCGCGGCGATTCCACAGTGGCAAGTACCGAACCTCAAAGCGCTGTGCAACAACAGGTTGACGGTGCAGGTAGTTACAGAGAGCTTGAAGACGATGTTTGGAGGCGACAGCGTGGCTCACAAGAAGGACATCGACCGAGTGAAAAGCACGTATCACGGGCGAGCCGTTCGAGAAGAAGGATACTGGATGGAGGAACACTACGATGAAGATGATGACGCTGACTACGAGGATGAGTACGACCCGCACGAGGACTATCAAGAAGACGACGAGTGGTACGAGGAAGACGAAGACGTGCCGGAGGAGCTGGAGAACGCACACGAGGCTACCGAGGAGGCTTACGCGGCGTACGCGGAGGCCCGAGCTAAGATGAACGAGTTGGCGAAGTCTCGTGGATTTTACCCCGTGGTGGCGCTGATCGACAAGAAGCGTGGTGGCGGACTTTCGCCGCCGCGAGCAGGTAACGCCAGGCCGCCGAAAGGAAGAGGACGCAGCAGCAGCGGAAAGGCGAGAGCTGTACAGAAAGGAAAGCAAAAAGGACGATGAGGCGGACGAGCACCATTCGGAGGCGGTAAAGGCAGCAGACACTTCGACGGCAGCCCGAAGGCGACGCACACGGGATCTACACAACAGCATGGACCAAGGTTCAAGCGACGACGAGACGGAACACCATCCAAGTGCGACGAAGACGCGAAGATGCTGTACGAGATCAGCCCGGACAATACGATGACGGAGATCACGCCCAGCATGGAGACGGCACACGGGCTACCGCTCGGGGAAGTGAATTTGGCTACGGGAAAAGGAGTTGGCTACAGTGGAGCAGCTAAACCAGTCATGGGACTCGACGAGTGGCCGAAGTGGCGTAAGAAGCGGACGGACATGGGCATGGCCGACCAGATCACGGCGGAGCGGTGCCAGAAGACATTCAGGTTCGGCAACGACGCTACAGCGACGGCAAAGCAGATGGTTACGTGCCCAGTCTGGGTTCGCAAGATGAAGCGCGAGATCACGGTGTACCTTGTGCCAGGCAAATTTCACTACTTGTGGCGAGGCCGTGTCTCGAGGAAGGGGGCATCGTGGTAGACTACAGAAGCAAGAAGGCGATGTACCTGGACGAGGACCCTCAGACGTGGAGCGACATCGAGACAAACGAGAAAGGCCACATGATCATAGACCTTCTGAGCTTCCCTGAGGACGCGCTGGAGGCCAAAGAGGAATCTAGCTCGACGGACGCCGACACGGACGGAGACCACGAGGTCGAGAGCGACAAAGAAGTGGATTTCTTCGTGACCAGCACGCATGGCGAAGAGAAGGAGAACGCGGAGACGACAGGCTTTGACGCCGAGCAGCTGAAGGACTGGTTTGTGAAGGCGAACAGGACGCTCGACGAAAAGCCGAAGGTCAAGCGCAAGTTTTGGGAGATCTTTGTCAACGAAGGCTGGATTTCGCAGTATGACGAGCAGCACGGCGATTTCAAAACGGATAAGTTCACCTTGGATACTGGGTGGAACTTGACGAAGAAGTCACATCGAGAAGCGTTTTTTGAGAAGCTACGAGATGAGAGGCCAGAAGAAGTATGGATTCTACCGCCATGTACGTTGTGGTCTACGATCAACACGTTGCACGACGTGAGCAAAGACAACAGGTACAGGCAGCAACGCAGACGACAACGAGAAAAACAGAAAAAGGAGTTCCTGAAATTCAGCCAGGACATCTACGACGAGCAGCTGCACACCGAGCGGAACGCGCATTTGGAGCACCCGAGGTATGCTACGTCGTGGAAGGAGGACGTCTGGCAGGATATGGAAGGCTACGACACGTTCGTGGACCAGTGCGCGTACGGGTTGAAGGCACTGGACCGCGAAGGGCACAAGATAGGACCGATCAAGAAGCCTACGAACGTGCGGACGACCAAGTTCAAGATGCACGAGGGACTCTGGAGGCGTTGCAGCTGTCAGGAGGAGCACGTTATGCTGGAAAGAGTTCACAGCATGCGCGGAGTAGAAAATTGCCCGAGAAGTATGGCGTTTCAGGCAGCTATTTGCATCGTGGACGATCCCCAGAGCGAGTCGAGTTACGCGGTGGAAGAAATGACGCAAGAGGAGTTCGACAAGGTCGAATACAAAGACGTGTGGAAGACTCTACTCGAGAAGTTTACGATTGACGAGGTGAAGTGGGTCGAGAAGGTGCCATGTGCAGATGGGCCATCCATCGAGCGAGGCGTTGGCAGCAGCGCTCAAGGAGATGAACGCGGACGACCGTCTGGTGAGCTGCGCGCGGATTTACATATGTGAGATTTGTTTGAAGCGGCACAGGCCGAAGCCTGTGAGGATCGCGAGGATTCCGAAGGACCGAGGTTTCAACGACACGATCGATGTCGACACTTTTCACGTGAGGTGGAACGATAAGCACAAGAAAGTTTTCACCATTATGGAGGAGAGCTCGAGGTACGAGGTCGACACGGTCGTGAAGGACGAGAAAGCGAAGACGGAGATCAAGGCGATCGAGAAGAACTGGATCAACTGGGCAGGCGTACCGGCAAGGATTCCAGCTGACCAAAGTGGAGCGCATGTGAGTGAGGAGTTTTCGGAGTGGTGCGACACGAGGCAAATCAGTTGCAGCTGATACCGAAAGACGCTCACCACCGACTCGGGATTCTCGAGAGAAATCACCAAACACGGCGAGAACAGATCGCGAAGTACCATGCAGATCGACCGGACGACAGCCTAAAGGTGACGGTACGCGTGATATGCGACATGAGAAATCGGCTACGCAACGTTCGAGGGTTCACACCGGCGCAGCGTGCGCTTGAGCGGCAGTCTAAGGACCTGGGCAGCGTGGCGGACGAGCCGACGACGATTGGCGACCTCGGGGAGCACGACGAGGAGTTCTACCAGAACATGGCGCGCAGGCGCGGCGCGGCCAAGGCGTACTTCGCGGCGAATATGTCATGGGCGGTGCGAGAGGCGCTGGCGACTCGCAACTGACCTCTGGCCAAGGAGTTCCAGATCGGCGAGTGCGTGTATTTCTGGAGGCGAGACAAGGGCGAGAGCGACTTGATCAAGAGCTACTGGAAGGGACCTGCGATGGTCACGCAGGTCGAGTATACGGACGACCCCGACAAGCTGAGGCAGTCAGTCATCTGGTGCGTGCATAACAGCACGCTGCTCAGGACGACGCATGAGTTGCTGAGGCCAGAGCTGCCAGAGGAGCGACGACAAAGAGATGAAGAAGATAACGATTCCGGTCTACTTTTGTCGACGGCGGAGAGGTCGCTCAAGAAGCCGAAGAACACGACCGGGTCTACCAAGTACAAGGATTGCGTTGGCGAGGCGCTCAGTGATCCAGAGGACCACGTGGATGACGGACAGCATGAAGGAATGGACGTGGACGCTCAGGGCGTGGATACCGACGGCAAAGTGGCGGACCCAGGCAGCGAGCAGGCTCAACCCGACGAGGATGAGCAGAATGATGACGATGTCGAGCCACTCGCGCATGCACCGACGGAGGCGCAACCGCAGGCTGCGGCAGGCGAGTCTCGACCGGAGGCCGATGGGCCGGGGGCCGATCGTGTGCGTGAATCTAATCTCGAGGCCCCTGGCCGGGAGATAGCAGAACACGCTGAGCCAGAGGCCAAGGCGGAGAAGCGGAAGGCGGACGACAGGGACGAGCTGTTGGAGAGCATCAGCGCGGCGAGGCGGGTCGACGGGCTCAGACCGTTGACGAAGAGGCCGAGGATCACCCCTATGGAGACGCATACTACTAAAACGGATACTGGCGACGACGAGTTGCTGCTCTTGTACGAGGACGGGGAGACGATCTACCCGACAAACGCGGCGAAGCGCGACGCGGTAGTGGAGGCCAGGCTCACGACGGACGAAAGAAGCACTT